TTCATATAAACAGATATTTGAGATATGCAATTACTGATTTCGAAACCAACCGAATTCGTAAAATGGATAGTACAATTGTTTTCTCAGCCGTTTCTAATTCTGGGCTGCTTGGAGCCGAATATGTGCTTGATTTTGTCGATAAACATTACAAAGAAATGGGAAAATAGTAAGTTATCTTTATTATGCAATTTTATACTGTAGTTAATATTAATTCAAAAGAAAAAATCGGATAGATTTATATCATACATTTTTTTAAATAAATAATATATTAGGAATGTAATATATATGTTAATCTGTGTCAAGCAAGAGTATATCTCTCTAATTTTATTTGAGCTATACAAAATGTCAATAAATAGCTAATGTAAATAGGTATTAAGTAGATATTAACAAATGCATATAAAAAAATTGATCATCCATAATATAATGTTTTTCTCTTCAGCTTTAGAGATCAGACAACAATATCTTCAATTCTCAATGCAGTGTCGCAACGTCTTTCTACACCCCAATCAATAAACAAATATGAAGAATTCATAAATAATCATAAACAGGACTTTGTATCTATCGAGAAATCTTTAACATCTTCTTTAAGAGTTGCTAAATATGAATTAGAATGGTTTAAGTCCAATTCGCCATCTATAATTCAATGGTTACAGAAATATGACAAGACTGCTTATTAATAAACATACATCTTCTTCCCTAAGTCAACTATGTTCTAAACTTAATTGGGTTAGTTAATTGGATTCAGCCAAAATCATATAATTTAAGTTACTTTCAATTAGATGTTGAAGACAGGAGTTATTGGGATGGGTTATTGTGCTATTAAGTTTCTAAAATAGAAAGTAAACCTTAATTTGTTGTATTGCTATTTAATTTTTATATAATATAAATATTTATCAAATATATATTTTTATTAAACAGTTATATAATATATTATATATTTTGAATAAATGAAGTTGTCATGTCATGATTTATTTTTTTTTATATACCTGCTTTAATAAATATAATTTTATATTTAAGTAATAGATTGATCAATGCTCAATCTATATATTTAATATATTTTGTATATTTAATAAAGAAGAACTAATTATTAATGTAAGCTTAATTAAACTCTCAAAGAAATTTGAAACATTAAATAATACAGAAATTGAAGAGCTATACTATTTATGAATAGAAATATTATTTATAATAATATTTTCTTTACTATAATAGTAAAATTAAAATTATATAATAAAATATTACATAATTATTAAAATTGAAAATATATAAAAAATAAGTACAGTATAACTTTTCTCAGTGTTGAAATTATTTTATTTCAAAATTTGATAAGATAAGGATACAATGTAAAAAATTCAACAAAATTCAACATAATTTGTTTTTTCAATGTTATACAGCCTTTTAAGTGCAAAATATTAATTACTGATCTAAAAATTAAATTATTTTATTTAAATTATTGATAACA